CAGCAGACCTGTGGCTGAAGACAGAACCCCCACGCAGTCCGAGGGGGCCTGGACAAGGCATCATTAACCCTGCCTCAGAGCCAGTGAAGTCTTCACAGATGGGGGGGCATCTGGATTCCTTCTTTCCCTTCACCCAAAGCAAGGCTGAATGTGATGATTAAAGACAAATACCTCCTATTAATTCTTTATTATAAAAGGTAACATATGCTTTTTGATAAAGGACGACCAAAACAACCAAGCGTGTACACAATCGAAAGTACCCCTGCCTGGTTAGAGAGCATTGCATGGCCTTTCCAGGTTTTACTGCGTACGTACACATGGCAGGAGACCTGGTGATGGCGTGGTTGTGGATTGGGCTGCTAGCCACAAGGTCAGCAGTTTGAAACTACCAGCCGCTCCTCTGGAGAAAGACGAGGCTTTCTATTCCAAGGAATAGTTCTAGTCCTGGAAACCCACAGGGGACCGTTCTACCCTGTCTCATGAGTTGGACTGGACTCGATGGCAGCGAGTTTTGAGTGATAAGGATGCGGTGGTGGTGGTGGTGAGGTGCCGTTGAGTCGGTTCCAACTCAGAGCGACTCTGTACAACAGAATGAAATGCCCTTGTTGTCTATAAACATGCATATCTGTACGTTGTAAACGGTCCCTGCTGTACAACTTGGAGTCTTTTCCTATTGGACAGAGCTCGACACACTTCAGGCTAGTTCACAGTTGTTTTTTAGCAACTTGGCAGCACTTCATTGTGAGCTTTTGTTATCATTTATTTAACAGGCCTTCACTGATAGACCATTGGCCTGGCTTTCAAAGGGTGACTCGCTGTTCCCAAGCAGGAGAGGAAGGGCCAGGAGGTATCTCAAGGTTTTCAGCTTGGTAGGGATTGGAGGCTGTGCATGCTTCTGGATTCTGAGCAGTTCATTGTTGGTCAGGTACAACACTGACTGTGGCAGACGAAGAAATCTCTCTCAGACTGCTCTGAGGAGTTTGGGCATTGCCTTTTCTTTCTTTTTTAAAAAAAATCATTTTATTGGGGACTCGTACAACTCATCACAATCCATACATACATCCATTGTGTCAAGCACATTTGTATATTTGTTGCCATCATCATTCTCAAAGCATTTGCTTTCTATTTGAGCCCTTGATATCAGCTCCTCATTTTTTACCCTCCCTCCCTGCTCCCCCTCCCTCAGGAACACTTGATAATTTATAAATTATTGTTATTTTGTCATATCTTACACTGTCCGACATCTCCCTTCACCCACTATTATGTTGTCCATCCCCCAGGGAGGAGGTCATGTGTAGATCTTTCTACCCCACCTTCCCTCTACCCTCCTGGTATCACCACTCTCACCACTGGTCCTGAAGGGATCATCTGTCCTGGATTCCCTGTGTTTCCCTTCCAATCTGTACCAATGTACATCCTCTGATCTAGCCAGATTTGTAAGGTAGAATTGGGATCATGATAGTGGGGAAAGGAAGCATGTAATAACTAGAGGAAAGTTGTAGGTTTCATCATTGCTACCCTGCACCCTGATTGGCTCATCTCCTCCCCACAACCCTTCTGTAAGGGGGTGTCCAGTTGCCTACAGATGGGCTTTGGGTCTCCACTGCACTCACCCTCATTTACAATGATATTATTTCTTGTTCTTTGATGTGTGATACCTGATCCCTTCGACACCTTGTGGTCACACAGGCTGGTGTGCTTCTTCCATGTGGGCTTTGTTGCTTCTGAGCTAGATGGCCACTTATTTACCTTCAAGCTTTTAAGACCCCAAACTCTATATCTTTTGATAGCCAGGCACCATCAGCTTTCTTCACCACATGTGCTCATGCATACATTTGTCTTCAGCAATTGTGTCGGGAAGGTGTGCATCATGGAAGGCATTGCCTTTTCTTGAAGGTAATGAAGAGGTTTTGAATGAAGGAAAAGAGGGATCCGATTGTTACTTTGCAGAGTCGTCCAGGACTACTGTGGGTGGATGGCATGGAGGAGAAACAGAATGCAGGGAGCCCATTTAGGAAATGGCTTTGCCAATCTGGGTTAGAGATGAAGGATGGAGCTGACCAGCACAGAGCCAAGGTCATGGGCATGTTTGTGGTGTTCTTGATAAGATGTGGTGAATGGTTGTGGAAAGGGAAGAAGAAAGCTGGAATACAGCTACCTTGTGACTATATCTGACCTAGGAGACTGGCCAGTGGATGTGCAGGTAACCAAGGTGGAACACGGAGGACAAGAAGGGGAGCTTCCAGGAGATGGGCTGAACTCCATTCTGAACCCTCTCCTTTTGTTTCCTCCTGTGATACCTGATTAAGGGAATTCTTACCCCAAATTCTATTCCCCAATGAACCCACTGTGAATGATTTGACCAGTGCCCCAGGAATGCTCAAAGCGAGTCACGCTGTACACAGATGCATGACAGTGGGGTTGAAACCTTCCATTTTCTTCTCTTTGGTTTAAAAGACACAGTGCTATCCCCAGCTATCAGGTCCTCACATACTTGAAGTCTCCAAGTTTGAAGCGTTGAAAGGTCAAGACAAAAGGCGTCCACATGTTGAGGGGAGAGGTGAGGTCTTCAGAAGTCTCGGCTCAAGTGGTGAGGAGGGCACCCAGAGCCCAGGACCACTTGGCTGGTTTCAGACCAGCTGGGGGAGCAGGAAGGCAGTATTTGCTAAGTTACTATCAGGTGGCCACTTCTTTGTGTAAGATGGTAATGAGGCCATTAGGAGAGGCTCACCTGAAGTGCAGCGGTGTGAATCCGAGGTAATTAAACACCTCCTGAATGAAAGAGGCCCGGCAGGTTAAGTGAGGAATTATCTGCAGCACAGGTGGCCCAAGGCCTTTGAGGAGCGGGAGGAAGAGCCACCATGGCTTGTGCCAATTCGGTGGATGGAAATGTCACCCTAGTTCCCAGGAAGGGTGAGATCTTTTTATTATTTGGGGGTGGACGATATTTTTTAACATTTAAATAGAACATGTTTCTTTTTCACATTTTCACTCCAAGGCTGGCCAGCTGCTGAGCCTGGCCCACACTGTTCCTGACCACTGTGCGGTCTCACCACGGTGGCACTGGAGCTTCATGTCCGGGAAAGGGGCAGGGCAGTGGAGTCACGAAATGTCAGTTCTTCATACCAGGGTGTTGAGACAGACCCCAAACTGCTTTGGGAGGCACATTCTTTTCTGTGACCTCCGTGTGTGCACAAGTGGAGTAGCCAAGACCCTCTGTCCACCTTGCACAGCAGGGGGCCCCAACACGCCACCCTCATCAGTTTATGATCCAAGCGAGTGGCCAGGACATTCTTCCTCAAGACTCAGCTGGCCCTTCTGATGGCTTATTGGGGGCTGGGCACTGCCTCAAACTCACTCCCATCTCCACCAAACAACGTGTTCATGAATGTTCATGACAACATTATTTCCGATACCCAAGAAGTGTGAATAAGCCAACTGCCCACCCACTAATGAATGGATAAATACAATATGGTGTGTCAATGCGATGGAATATTATTCGGCCAGAAAAACAAGTGCTATTCGTACTTAAACACGGATGAGCTTGGGAGACATTGCACTGAGTGAAAGAAATCCGTCACCCACATACACAAATGCACATGATGTATGAACAAAATGTCCGAAATAGATAAATTGATAGGGACAGAACAGAGATTAGTGGATGCCTAGAATGGAGTCAGCAGGGAAGGTAAGCCGCCGGGGTGGTGGTGGAAGAAGAGTAACTGACAGTGAGTATTGGGTTTCCTTTTGGGGTGACAAAAGTATTCTGGAATCCTATAATAATGATGGTTTAAAGTGAAGCAAATTCATTGCCATCAACTTGGTTTTGACTCTTAAGGACCCTAGAGGTCAGGGTGGAATTGCCCCCTTGGGTTTCCAAAGCTGTACATCTACAGAAACTGTCACGTCGTTCTCCACAGAATGGCTAGCTGCCAAGCACTTTAGCCACAGCACCACCAGGGCTCCTGGCAGTTGCATAACCTTCTGTAAATGCCTCAAACTACTGAACTGTAACATTAAATAAATGGATGTCATGGTATATGAGTATATCTCAATAAACTTTTCTTTTTTTAAAAAAAAGAACCTTAGTCACAAAGCCAATATCCATGGGTCATTTCTAAAATATAATAGGCTTCAAAAGATAGATATGATAAATAAACATAAGAGTTTGAAAAAAATAAAATAAAATATGAGGCTTCAAAAAGTTGGTAGAAAATTCCATTATGTTTTCATTTAATTTCCCCTTGAACCGCCCTTGTATTCCGAGTCCATCAGTTCACCCACGGTCAGTGATTCGAACTTTTAGCTTTGCTGACAGTTTTAGCTATTGGAAGGAAGCTATAGATTGTCTACACAGGAAAAAAAAGATCTGTGTTCATTTGAGTGGCTGGTTTGTTTGTCACATATGAACCCAGGCATTCACACAGCTTTTCTTCTTTGTTTTTGGCCACAAGGAGGCTCTAAAGACAAATTTGCAACCCATTTCTAGCCCCCTTGTAAGGACCTCGGGGCTTCCGTTTGCACTCTGAGTATGCCCAGTTCTCCTACGCTGCTACAGTTCTCGTGTTCCTTTTGTTCTGACCTACTGGGAGTGTTATCTCTAAGCTGCCACTCTTCCTCTGAAGACTAAGATTGCGGTCCATTTTCCAACTTGGCTACTTCTAGGGTTTGTAACCGCAGTCTCTCTGAGACTGGTTCTCCATATGGGGACACGAATCCCATCCTCATAGGAGTAGTAAAGAATTAAAGAAAGAAAACTTATATGAAAGCATTTTCCAGGCACATAGTTGATAGCGGAGGGAAGGAAAAAAAAATTAGACATGCTCTAATGGGAATGCCATTCATTTAAATTTCTAAAACTCTTATATTGGGTGCCTTTTTGTTCTCCCAGGAGCTGAGGTACCACATCAATCACCACACAAAGTGATCCTCTAGCCATTAGAAAGCCATCTTCCTCCAACCCTGCCCTCATCGTGTGCTGCTTTTCTCTCCGTCACCAGATTTCCTCACTGAAGAGCAGGCTCAAGAAGGTCTCCACAACCACCGGAGATGGTGTGGCCAGAGCCTTCCTCAAGGCCCAGGCGGCTTTCTTCGGTTGCTACCGAAATGCTCTGAAAATCGAGCCGGTAAGTAGCTTCATGGCATGGTACGTGGTGCAGGGATAGGAACCATAGATGAAATCCCACAATTCTCCTGGTTGCTGAGTTTACCTAGAAGCTGTGTGTTGTGCGTGTGTGGAAGGGGGTGCAGAGCATCCTCCCCCTTGCCCCGACTCTTAGCTCAAAGAAGCCATTGTGTCATGAACAACTCAGCTGCTCCCCAAGGTGTACTGAGCACTGACTGTGTGAGAGATACAGTACTGGGCCCATGACACACACCTGCTCTCATGGAGGATTCCAATAGGCCTATGAGACACGAGGGGTTGTCTCTGCTTTACAAATGGGGAGGCCGGGGCTCAGAGAAGAGAAGTGATTTGCTAGCCAGTGGAGGAACCAGACGGCGTCCAAGTCCGTGCTCTTCCTGCTGGGTATCACTCCCGTTTTCCTTTGAGGAGCCCTCCTCTCCACACTTAAAAACACAAGACATGCTGGAGCTTTGCTCCGTAGAAGCTCCTGCGAGTGGTCCCGGTGTAAATGACTAGAGAGCCTCCTGGGAAATGCAGTCTCCCACCTCTCCGAGGCTCCGTGGACGCAGCCACAGGTGCTGCTTGCTTTGTAAGATGGCCAGGTGCTGTGAGGACACCGAGGCATCACGTCCTCCCGGGAACCACAGGAAGCACTGCTGCTCCCAGCTTCGACGAGAAGCTGGCATCTAATGCTCCGCTACCAGGCCTCGGGACCCAGGGAAATGGAGCAGGTGGTTTGGGGACCTGTGAGGCCCTTCCAACGGTTTCCATTCAATTTCCCATAAACTTGTGGAAGGCTGTTGTAGACAAGAAAGTGCCAAAGTTGCTGGTAGACCTTTCCCTCAGGAGCATAGGGGTGGTCCAAAGGCTGCTCCCTTCATCCTGCCTTGCCTGAGTGAGGTGCAACACACCAGCGTTGGTCACAGTCTGTAGGCTAGGAGGTTTGTTTCTGGGTTTGGGTTTGGGTGTTTTTTTAGTCCATTACATTTTATTCATAAAATGAAATGCCAAAAGATGAGTGGACGCCTGGCAGTGCATTTCAGGTAGAAAGAAACAGGAAACTGCAGTCACACACACTTGCTTACAAGCCACCGTTGTGCATTGTTCGCGTGTTTTTGTTGCCAGAACTCCACCGTGTGTCTGGCAAACAGGAGTCAGAACCGCTTTGTTTTCCCATCTCCCGGAGACATAACTTCGGTGAAATCACTGGGGGCTACAGGTGGGTGGTGGGTGCTCAGGGAGCAGCACCCTAATTCTTCATGGTCCCGAGTCCTTTCTCTCTAGGCTGCCTCAGCTTTGGACAAGGCCACGTTTACATGATCACATAACAAAAGGGGCACACCTTTTTGTCTCCCCAGACATGCTTCCCTCCAGTCTTTGACAGTCCTTCCGCTAAAACAAGTTCCCCATGTCCTGCTTGTCTTGAAGAGATGTAACTGATTCTTGGTTGTGACCTGGGCTCGGCCAAGCCGGTGAGAGTTGAGTGGCGATTTGGAAGGTGCTATAATTCGAGGGAAGGGCTCTTGTTCTTCCATATCTAAAATGAGGAGTAGATACCAGGCCCGGTTCTATCCTTTGGTTGCTGTGAGCTTCAACAGACATGAAGTTTTCAGTCATACATTCATCCCGTGATGGCTGTCGTGTGTGTGTGTGTGTGTGTGTGTGTGTGTGTGTGTGTGTGTGTGTCTACACTCCAGAGGCTGTTGTCTGTTGATAATCACTGGGAGTGTGATTTGGGACACAAGTTGTTCCTCAAGCAGTGTTTTGGGGTGTGCTTGCTGTTGAGTCTGAAAGGCTCTGGGTTGAAAGCGTTTAGAGACTGCTCTTCTTAGCTGCATCATCTTGAGCATTCCTGTTTCTTCGTCTGTAGAATGAAGTAACCATTACCCACCCTTTCCACAGCTCTAAGTATCAGATGAGCCATAAAACATCTTCTAAGAAATACAAACTTGAATTGGGTCTGAATAAGTAGAGTTGGAAAAAGAAGGGCTAAAGACTCCTTTGTGTTCGGGTATAAACAGAGCTAGCCAAGGTTTGGAGGCAGAGCACCCCAAGGCCAGCAAGTTCGCCATTTTGTCAGAACTAATGGCTGTGGGTGGGGAGGTGGGATGGCAAGTAAGTTAGAAGCCGAATTCTGCAGAGCCTTGATTGGAGGACCACCAGTGTCCGCTTCACCCTCTAGGTGGTGTAAAGTTCTTGGGCAGGGTGGGATCTGACCAAGGTCCTATTTGAGGTGAGGGTGGTCGTATGACCATGTTTGAGGTTGGTGTTTTGGGTGAACCTGATCGGAATAGCAGGCAGCACAGTGCCAAGGTGGGAAGGGACCATTTGTCTTCGAGTATATTCTCTGGTGATTACAACAGCATTCACTCTTGTTAAGAATATGTGAAAGTTCAGAGAACTAAAAATGAGAAAACATGCTATCACTGGCATTAAAATAACATCCCAGCATGTTTTACACCCAGGTCCTAGGGATTTTGAGTCATTTTTGTTTTTTAATTTTTTTTCTTGGTATAATTAACTCCTTTAATTTTATTTGAAACTTAATTATATAGCCGAAAGCATCTGCCTACACTGAATTTGTCGGTCTTAGGTTATTTTGATTTTTCATGTTCTTTAAAAATCTACTTTTTAATCGTTTTATTGGGGCCTCATTCAGCTCTTATCACAATCCAAACATGCATCCATTGTGTCAAACACATTTGTACTGTTTTAAAATTTTTTTCTTCTCTTTGGGACAATTGAACTATTCCTTGGAAATCGGTCCAGTGTTCCAGTTATTTGTTTTTGCCTTTTAGCATATCATAAACATTTTTTCCACTTCATATAAAAACTCTTTTGATGCATCACAGATCTCAGGTGTCTCCAGTGGTTCTCAACCCCAGCTGCAGATCAGAATCACGCAGGGGACTTTTAAAAAGGCAACTCTGCCTAGGCTCTGCTCCGGAGAGTTCTATTGGGTTCCATGATAGGAAATCAGTGCTAAAGCCCACCACCTTGCCCTAACTCTGCTCTTTTCTGTCATCGGTAACATTTCACCATATTCAACAACATTGCGGTGAGCATCTTCATACAAAATTGAATTACTTCCTTAGGTAGGTTCTGTGAAGTGGATTTACGGAGTCAGAGAACCTAAGTGTATTGGAGGCCCTGCACGCACATGGTAAGGTAAAGCTGGTGGCGGAACCAGACCAGGTTTCAGTGTGGCGAGGGGCCTGTGAGGCAGATCGCAGGGCCTGTTGTGCAGAGGCAGACCTATGGGAAGCTGAGGGTGAAGAGAGCCCTATGAGACAAAAGGCCCAGAAAGGGGGGGGGAGGGTCAGGAGACAGAGATGGACAGAGAAAGTGAGAGAGGGTCTCTCCAGCTCATCTCATGGAGCTGCCTTGTGCTGTGCCCGCAGTGGTTGCTGGGCTGCTAACCCTGAGTCAGTGGGGTGGGGTCATGGCACCCATGTTACTGGAAAATCGGGTTTATTTTCGTGTGTTCCCTTTTTTTTCAGGGGTGTGCTTTTTTAAGAGGAAATGTGACCAATGAATGCCTTTCTGTCGACCCCGCTCCTTCCTAACTTCTGACTTTCAGTAGATTCTCTGGCTCTTTGGCCACTCATTTTCCCCTTCCATAAAAGAGATGTGAAAGCCCCTTCTGGCGAGATGGATAAGCCCACCCAGGGCCCACGGTCACCCCCTGTGTGCTGACAGGGGCCTCCATCCTGCCTGGAGCTGTACCAGGGGACTCCAGTCTTGCTCCTGGAGGTCCCCCTGCTTCTGTGAGGAGGTGGAGCCCCGCCTGAGAGGCAGAGAGCCCAGCCACTGCTCCCCGGTGAGGTCTGCGGGCCCTTCCTGAGCCTAGAGCCCCCGGAAGATGCTGAACGCTTTGGCCTTCTCTCCCTCCCTCTCTCTCTACCTCACTTTTTAAACAGGAAACATTTCAAAATGCAGCTGGCCCAGGGAGACTCTTCAGCTTTATTCTGCCCCCAGCCCAGAAGGGACAAGGAAGGGGACCCCACTTCTCTGTGTGCACCCAGGCCATGCCTTCTGCACATTGTCTGGGGTGTAAGCCTTGTGCTCACTCATGGATGGTGTCTCCCTTCAGAGCCAGGGAACTTGTTTCCAAGGGGCCAAGAAATTGAGAAGCCAAGGGCATTCAGCCCAGGCCAAGTCTCCTGCCTGCTCAGGGGCGCCCCAGCCTGGTAGGACTCTGCTCATTCAACGCTCACTCCCCGATCTCAGTCACCCCACCCCCACCCCTGCCCCGACTGCCCTGCGAGGCCACCACCCCTCAGTGTCCTTTTTACCCACTGGTAAGTAGTAGAGTCAAACCCAGGTCTCCTGCCTCCAGACCCCAAGCCCCTCTCTCCCACCCTGCTGCCTTTGTTCTGCTTTCTGCACTCTGCGTTCTGAGGCATGCTCTCTCCGCACGTCCCATGCCTGGCACGGGCCATGGCACAGAGTAGGCAGCAGTGGGTATGTTCTGGAAGAGCAGATGGAAGCAGTGGACAAAGGAAATGGAAGGACAGAAGAAAGGGTGAGACCGGGGGGTGGCCTCGGCCTCCGTGCAGCACCCCTCTGTGGCATCCTCTCCTGCCTGGGCTTCAGAGGGGCTGCTGCCTGACAGAGGGAGCCGCATCCGCAACTCTCAAGGGCATTTGACCCATTTTTCTGTCAGCGGAGAGAATACCATGTGCAAAGCCCAAGATATTTAACAATATTGGCCAACCAACTTGTTCTTCGCGGCTGAAACGACAGAACCACAGCAGCCAGGCAGCCCCATTCAGAGAAGCCCCCTTTATCCACGTCAAGCGCAGCCCAGGCTCCAGCTCATTTATTTAGGCCTTTCTTGCTCTCTGACACGCCTCCTGCCAGTTGCCTGGCAACTCTGGGAGTAGCAGTGTGTGCTAGGGATTAACTAGTTAGGGCTGGGGTTCTTTTTGGCAAGAAGGGGATAAAAGACGAATGATTTTAATTGCTAGGCCAACAATCCTTTCTCTGCCTGGTGGAAGA